AAACAATGGCCATCTAATCGAGGACGGATCTACACAAGTTCTCCGGTAATAGTGACCCCTTTCTAAATATCTTCTAGTATGCATTCTACGCTTCTGTTGGTGTTGTTTAAGCGGAATTTTACAGTGAATACTGAAGAAAAAATCACAGAAAAGGCATGTAAATCAATTTGAAAAATATTCTTTCTTACAATTCTCAATTTATTTAATAAAACACATTTTGTTGACACGTGGCCCCCACACGATCAAACTAATTGTCAAGCATTACGATAAAAAGCTTGTGCATAACAAACTTTGTACCTGCTATTACTCACGTTTTTGTAACAAAAGGAATGGGAATAAATAATTCATCCCGATCAAAACCGAAAAAAAACTGGAATCGTTTTTGCTTTAAACGCTGTTGATTAGCCGAGAAAATATGTCTTAACATTTTCACATGCAAATCTGGTCGTGTCTTTATTTATACAAACTGATGTGCTGTTTTTTGATAAAGAAAAGATGAACTAAGGTGATAGACATTATGAAACTGACTAATTTACCGGTGTTTGCTAAAACTAGGCACTGGGCCGAGGAACGTAGTATGTAACTACACACACTAAATGGTTGAGGGAATTCGCCTAGACTAGTCATGCAGCATTGGTTGTTGTGATATTTTGGCATAGCAAATGATGCATAAACATTTGTCCTGCTGGGTTCCACAATTTTGTTCGCTAATTCCTACTGTAGAATAGGCAATAAATAAGCATTTTATTAGAAATTTTTAAAATTCATCAAAGCAGTCGCATTTGAATAAAACCTGAAAAGAAGCCTGTGAGATAGGCTTTAGCAACCGAAGTTGAATTGACTTAGCTACGGAGACGTGTCTGCATTGTGGGAAGTTGGATAATTTTCAGGGTTTATTGTCAACCAAGGTATTTCGCATAAGGGACGAAACAAATTCACAAGTCTCCTTATTTTGGCTAGATTTATTTTTGTTAATGAACTGAGGCGCTAGATAGGGCATTTGAAGTTTTGATGTTGTGATAGTGACTGATTAGATACCTTTTTTTCTTTATCACGTAATTTTTCTAAAGTGCCAGCAGCTACTCCTTTTTGTCAATGTCTAAAAAAACAACTTTTTAGTAAATAGAAAAGGATAAAAAGTATCAAAAAGAAATGGGAGTCTAGGGTAGGAAACAAATTTTTTTTATTTACTCGTTTCCAACATTTTATACTCAAGGTCGAAACTCGGTAGTCAGCACATTTGGAATGGAACAATTGTTTAATAATAAAAAAAACTGAAAAACGAGTATATCAAAAGCAAAAAAATATTTATTTTCAAACCAAGGAAAGTAAAAATGCCTTAAATTGACTTGTTTTTATAATAATTTGGTGCCCTTTTAAGATTCATTAAATGGCTCATTTACATTTGATTACAGAAGTTAAAATAATGTTTTTTTAAAGACTAATAGACTTGAGATCAAATTCTTCATTGGGAACTTGTAACATTGAACATAAAGTGTGCAATATTGCTGTTGAATTTTGGTTAATCAAAAAAAGTAAATCCCGTAAATTAGAAATTCGAAATGAACTTTGAGTACTGTTAGTGTCTTGGGAATGACTGATTTATTTAAAGGCATAAATTAGCCGTTTCTTTTGAGGGCATCTTCCATGAAACATATGCTATTTAAACCTAAACTATAAAAGCAATCTATCGCAGGCCTACATAGCGTAAATGCAGGATAATTGGCACCAAACAAAAAATGAGAAGGCTCGCATCTTCTTGGAGATCAATGACTCCCCAAGATGGATCCTCACCTGGTTTTGCCATTATTTACTTCACTTCTCTAACATCGATTTTATCAGATCAAGGTCAACCTTGAGTTGAATTAGTGTTCACTTTTGACAACCCTCTGGCACTTTGGCTGAGGCTATTAAAGCTCTCCGGACGAGCTCTGGCCTTTTAGTAGCGTGGGATGGTCGGTTCCATCGCAACAAGAGATCTGGTACCGTTATCTGAGTAGATCTTCTTGGTTATGGGCAAAATTAACACATCTCTAAAAATACCTAAAAAAATCTTGGTTTTCACTTGTAATATGTGGCAATAAGAC